TTTTATCATTGTTTATTATTCCCACTGTTATTATCATTATCATTGTTACAAGAAACACATTGTTCAGGTCAAATACGCGGTGAAGGAGTATGCCTGTACGGCTGTGGATGTCATCGCACGGCGCTTACGTCTAGCATTTTTAAATACATACGCAGCTTATGAAGTACTCGATAAGGTTGTTGATATTATGGGCGAAGAACTTAAGTGGTCCTCAGCGGAGAAAAAAGTAACATTTTCATAAAAGTACTTTTTTTGGCAAAATATTCATAGGGAATTTTAGTTGTCGCTACCGTGCTATGTTTTGAACAACTGTTGTTACATCATTACGTTTCTTCACACTTGTGATTCACCCTTCCATTTTCGCCATTCACATCTAGTTTAGGCCTCCTTCACCAACAATTCTTTAAAGCCGTTGGAAACGGGTTCCTCTGCTGTACTTTCAACCTTCGTTATGTTCTTTTAACGTTGTTTGGGCATTCGCACCTTTTTTCTCATTCTTGCCATACGACTGGCTCAGCTCTTTTTCGCAAAACTTCGTTAGAAACGTGCTACAACTTGCTGACAACTGCCGTGCTACGTTTCGCTGCTGTTTAGGTATCATTTATTTTTTCTCCGCGGCGAGAGTGATATTTCATGCTTCACTACCGTACAGCGAAATTGGTAGCACACTGAAGTTGAAAAATGAAAGCTTATAAGCGCAAACATACTAACCTTCACCTAACATCTAATTCCTTTTCCTAGCGTCATGACCCCAAATAGTTTATAAACCCTGTCCCTGGTCTCCAAATCCTACCTTCGCACATGATCTCAGCTTGTTTCCGTTCTTTATTCCGGTCCCCTCCCTTCTATTCCGGCTCCGTGCGAGCATTTCAATCCCCCTCATTGTCACCTATTCCTACCCTTCTTTCCCTTCCTCGTTCTGACTCACTGAAATGAACTTGTAATTTAAATCCATCCATAGGCCGAGGGGTGCACCATGATTTTCCCAAATCTCCTACCAGCTCTAGATACAAATACATTTTCCTCGCCTAGTTGAGCCGAACTGAGTT